ATGTGCTCCATCGTGAGAAGCATTGGGATCATATGCAGGACCTTGCACCAAGGATTCTGTGGTTTTGGCAAGGTTTCAATGAATCATTTGATAACTAACTTCACAACCCAAATTTGGATTCCCAAGAAATTGAATTGCTGCCTTACTCCAAGTCTCCATGCGTCCTGTGGGTTTTTGCAACGATTCAAATCGATGTTTTGCAGCCCGCAAGTTCTTACCTTGATTAAAAGGGTCATTCTTGAATGAATTCAAGCGAACCTTTGTTCATGTATGCTGTCAACCTATTGTTTTGGCATCCCCTGCAACTAAGAAGCAATGCCAGCCCTTATCCTCTTTCACAAATTGAGAGAATCTCACAGCAAAGATTTGTTTGTTTTGGATAAGGCTTGATGGGCTTTGACTTCCACATACAAAGTCCCGCATCGTTGCTGCCAGGAAGTCATCCGCTGCTGTGCATCTTGCTGCGATCCTGGTGGAGGCTGTTGGGCACTGGGCAGGTTGGCAAAGAACAGCATGTCACATCAAACCCTCAGTTCATTTAAACAAACAATTATTATATCAGCTCCTTCTGGTTGCATGTGTGGTGTCTTTGCTTCGAACATGTAGGTTTGGAAAAGCCTTCTGGAGAAGCTCGCCACCCACCATCTCATCCGTTGCTGCATCTGTGCAATACTGTTCAACATGGTCTTCAATCCCTTTGATCAAACCAGGAAAGGACAGTGGCTTGATTTCCTCAGGTTGGTCATGCTGAGTGAATGAACTCATGGTGATTAAAGTGACACAGGTTTCTTTAACATGAAGAAGCTGCCAAAGAACTGAATGTGGAGCTGGACCAGTAGGGGAGCAAAGGTTTTTGATGATCTGCCGGGTAGATTTGTAGATACCCACCGCTGTCAGGTCTTGTGCTTTGGACATGTCATAGGCCCCAAGAAAACCAGCGGCGCTCTCCAAGTCATGGTTTATGCATGAAAAGCGGCAAGCCAAGATGAACTTCCGGGCATCCTGTCCAACACAACCCTTGTGCCTAACTTGTCTCAAGAACATCAAAAGAAAATCCCACCTGCCCAAGAGAAATCACCGTCGCCCTGGACAGTCGCTTCAGTGTAAGCAACCTGCAACCTTGCCCCAAGCAATATTGCAGGCACCTTTGCCGAGCTCTTCCACCAACCTGGAAGGCACAGTGATGGGTCGTGATGGGTTGTCAGAAGACGCTTCAATGAAAACCAGTTTCCAAATAATAACTAAATAGGTACCTTGTCGGATTTCCTCTTCTCCTTGATTACGTGGATCATCTCTTTGAGCATTTGGGCGTGAGGTACTTTTTTTCCCTCAACAATGGCAAAGTCTGAATCCAAATCATGGCCTGGGCAAGAGACCCATCTAAGATAGAGGTGATGCATCAGTGAGTGCAACTGTATCCTCAACATCAGCCAGGGGACCTTCTTTGGAAGCTGCCTTAAATGGTCCGACTCCAGTTTGAAGGTTCATTGTCTAATTTCATTTGACAATGGCAGAATATGACATTGACTTGACACCTGAAACCAAGAGTCTGCAAGCCGGTGCAATGACGTTGCTGCATGCTGCTTCAGATGCCCACGATGGACTTTTTTGGCACCCCTTCCACCTCAGGTTGTCGAAGTAACCAGTTGAAAATTGTCATCAAACACTATCGTAGACACTTTGCATTGGATGCCTAGGAACCTTCTCCTCTTCCAAAGGTAGAGCAAACCCCGGCCAGCTTGCACACCCTACAAACCAAGCTATGCTCCCCAATGGTAGCCCACGGAAAGTCCTGCTGCCATGTCTGCCAGCGTGAGGCGATTCGTCTTAGCTGCTGGACAGTCTTGGATCGCAGCGCAGGCTTGACCATGGTGCTGATGGAAAGAGAGTTCAATCAACATCTAAGACCTTGCGCTTTTGTCAGTTGTTCATTTTCATGTTTGAGTGGATCCACTGCTTTGAACCATCTTGGGAAATACATGGAAATACTAAGCTTGAAAGCAATATGGTTTCTTGGTGAAGAAGGTTGCCAATGAAGACCAAATGGCCTGCGGTGAGAACTGCACTCCACAACTGGCCTTCAAGTCAAGCCAATCAATCTGAAATCTTTTAAATTTACTCGTGACTACACATTCAATACTACACCAATAGCTCAATACTAACAATACACTGAATCAGCTCAATCAGAATGCCTTCCCTGGGTCCTGTCAAATCCGCCCTCCCCCAAATGGCCTCAGGCAGTGCTGGCCGCTGCTGGTGGGCAGGCCTGCCAGGAAGCATTGATGGGTGTGAAGGGCTTGGTTCAATGGGGTGGCGTGGCTGAGAGGGCTCAAGGTTCGAGAGTGGGGATCACTGACTGTTGAGAAGTAACACCCTAAATCCTCAGAGCAGCTTGCACAGTTTTCCAGAGCTGAGCTCATCAATGCTCAATGCATATGAGCACAATGCTCAATGCATATGAGCAGATGATTTTGTCGTCCACTGACCACAATTTTATATTTTTGTATGCATTGAAACCTTGATTGTTTCTGGTCATCGTAGTTTCATTCAGCGGTCCATCAGTCAATGATGGTCAGTGTCATGGTTCATATCCCACCCTCACATTCCAAAGCGTGAGCTCGTTCTTCGATCCTTAAGCCATCAAATTCAAAGTGTCCAGAATCACCAAGTCTAAGAATTGAACAACCTAAGAAAGAATCAAAGTGTCCACAATCAAAGCCAGGAGTCACTCTAAGTCTTTGAACATTCCTGGCACGCCATGTTGGAAAGGATTCTCCTGCCAAGTCGGTGTTGAACATGTTATGAAATGTGAAAGCCAAAGCTTCACACCAAGCTGGTTTTGCACCAAGGATTTCAACCGTCCCATAGACTCCTTTGATGCTTCCGCTGGAGCTGAAGATGCAGATGACCTCCGCCATGGATACTCCTGGAGTCCGAAGTCAATGGTCCGATGTCAAGAAAAACAGAATTGCAAAATTGGCACAGCTGATGAAAGCTAGCAGGGGTGGATATCTATCGAGTTCCTCCAAGTCCTGGCTGTCAGGATCATGTCATCTGAAGCCATCAAGTCATGTGTCCATGATCTAAACACTGGTCCTCCGATCTGGCCCTCTTTGATGGCTGCTTCTGCTCCTGCTCCTCATCCTGTGCGCAGTGAGCCAAGTACGTGTATGTATTTTTGACCAGATGGCCTGAATGATCTTTCCAGGTCATGGCTGTGACTGTTTCAATCTGTCATGACAAAGTTGATGATCCCAAGGAGTCCTTTCCAGGTCGAAAAAAAAGCATCAGGCGTCTTTGGCTGCTGCCCATCATCAGCCCCCACCGCCTCCTTTGGCTTGGGATCATCAGCCCCCACCGCCTCCATCATGTCCTTATTTAAAAACAGTCGCAAACAATGATAAGTTGTCATGACCACAGTTTAATGATGACATATCTGATCCAAGGCTCAAGGATGCGCACTGCCAGCGCCGCACTGTGGATTGCACCATCCAGCTGGATGATCATCCTCAGCGGCGTGTTCCCCACATGGTTGGCCGGCGCCACGATCCGCTCCACTTCACCAATAGCCAGCTGCGCCAACTGCTTGGCATTGTGGGGATCGATCTCCCATTCCACATGTGCCTGACATCAATTGCAATGATCATGGCAATGACATTCCAATGACTACATAAGACTGATGAGGTGAAGCCCTTCCAAAGCTGCTCAAATCAAATGAAGTCATTGAAAAAGCCAAGTTACTTTTGCGCGTTCCACCTGTCCAGACCGAAGGCGCGACGCCACCTCCGACAGCCGCTCGGGACCATCATCCAAAAGGACTTCATCCATCAAGGCCTCACCTTAGATATTTGGTTTCAAACTCCAAGAGACAGAAGGGAGACATCAAAGACTTTGCACTCAATGAGACTGAGACAGCCAAGGCACTGGGATTGGAACTTGTCTCATGCTCGGAGGACTGGATGTGCTTCACCTTCCGCTCAGTGAGCGTGACCGCGTCCGGATATGGCGGGACATTGAGGAACTTGATCTCTGACTGCGGCCGCATCATGAACTTCCTCAGAAACACTGAGGAACTACAAGTCAATCGATCAATGATGGCATGACTGACCTTGCATGGCATGATGTAAATTTCCATCTTTAATCACTGAACCATTGGTTTCCTCCAAGCGGCACCGTCTCGAAAACCTGATGGATATGCCCCGGGATCTTCACATTGTAGGTGTCACCGGCCCTTGTCATCACCAGCCTCAGATGATCTGTGAACAAAGGGACAATGCCAACGATGTTCACCAGAAGCGATGACTGAAGACTTTGATAAAATCATGGGTTCAAGTCAAGCAACTGCTCTTCTCTCTTCACCTTCACCCTCACCCGCTGCTCTGTCGCAGATTCAGCAGCATCCACCGGATCCGCCATGATCGAATGACAGGATGAAGGATAAATTGAATGATCATGATCCAAATGATCAAAACTCAGTGTAAAATTGAATACCTGGCATGACATGATGTCATCCTTGGCATGAGACCATGTCTAGTGTCCATGAGACCATGAGCCTAGGGCCTATTCACCATCATAAATTGAAACATGATAGAACATGTCTCTTGATGTGCATCGTCATCTTAGTAGCCGTCATGGCTGTGGCAAATCACCAAACTCACAGAACATCATCACTGACAGTGGACCGCTGAATTTTAGTTACTGTGGTCAAAATTTAAACCATAAAATTGAAGAAACACATCCTTCAACCCTTGGCCACCCCCCCCACCGCACCTCCTCCACCAGGTGAAGAGCAGTGGCCGCTGCCGCCAGCAGCCGCGAGCACGACCCGCGCGGCCACCCCCCGTCCCTCCTAACAAAACCAATATTTTTTTCATTGGCACTATTCCACTATGATAACTGCACCAAAGTAGAGGATGATCGTTCTGAATGTAGACTGCGGCATGCATGCATGCGGCATCCGAAAACCCACGGACCCAACTCCGCTTGGGGCGGCCGCCAAGGAGTCCCATCCTCTTCCCCGAGTCGCTCCAATCATCGCCCCTCTTGGCGCAGTGCGCCGCTCCGTCGACCCGGCGCAGTGCGGGCGCAGTGCGCCGGGGGGAGGGCACCGCAATCTAAGAGGTGTTGAAGTGGGGCTGCAGAATTCCCCAGAACTCCAGAAAAAGGCTCCATTCACATTCCAGCCATCAGGGTGTGCAGGTGGATGTTTTTTCAATTCGACTGATATTCTTTTTGATGAGATGTTTGGATGGCTGTTGACAGACTTCTTGGGATGAGCAAATGAGGATATTTTTAGAGGATGCTTCTCTTGCCTGAGAGTGGGCCAACACTCAAACCAGTGGGCCAACACGTGAGACGGCATGTGCATGACACACTGGAGACTGGAGGAGAAGCAAATACTTCAAGCTTGAGGATGTACTTGGACTTCTACCGCATGACAGGGATGATGGGTGTGCCCGGGTGTGCCCTTTCCCAGGTGGGGTTGTTGAGTCCGAACCCTGCAGAATCCGAAGTTCGACCAGTCACCGGGTCACGGATGTAAGCAGTTTCCCACCATTCTCCACCTGCATCACATGTGCCGATCTGCCTCCTTCACCCTTATTCCGACCGCTCCCTGCGACGCCAGGCATGGTGCGGAGGTCTTTGATTGGAGCGAGGTGTTGAAACTCAAGGCCCGGAGGGACGCGCACATTGACGACATGACGAGACCCGGTCTGCTAGAAGGTCTGCTATAGAAGGTCTGCGAACGACGGGGTGAGGTGATTTCAGCTTGCGGGAATGGCATGGGAGTGGCATAGGTTATAGGGGTCGACTGGAAGACGGCTTTCCGCCATCAAGCAGTCAGAAACCCAGTCCTGGACTGTATGATTCCAAGATGTGTGAGAAAACAATCTGAGACTGTTAGGACCTAGCTCACTGGAGTGGTTTGCCCGAGGATTCTCTATCAATCTCTATCATATATACAGATTGTAGGTATTCCTACCTTTGGAATGATTTGGACAAGGATCCTGACATTATCAAAAATCAATTGACATATATACATAGTTTCCTGGCTACAATTTTGCAAGCGTTTTGGCTGGAAAAAAACATTAACAACACACCTTAAATCTATAGTTATCTAAACTCCACTTTTACCTAAACTCACTGCTATATACGACTAATATCGATTAATATAGTGCGTCTTCTTGGAGGTCTCCCTTCAGAGTCCACCGGTCAGTCAGTGATCCAGGCTGAGTGCATCAAAGGACGAAGCAGCGAGACCTGAAGCCGTGAGAGGTCGAGAGCTCCGTCCCGAGGTTCCGGTCCGAACGATGCGTGGGGACCGGCCCCAAAGCGGCGAGGATTGTAGAACAAAGGGCAGATGGGAATCATGGAAACCTCCGATGGCCAAAGGATTAGACTTAGCTGTTTCTATCCAATTTGATAGTCTATATCTACTTCGCCTGAGCATAGTGCCATAGTGCCATACCTTTTTACATCTTGTTGTGTGTATGTGTTTTGCACTCAGCAACTGTGTGGCTTGTTCAAGAGCAAGCGTTGCCCTTGCGTTGCAAGTCCTTGCGTTGCCCTTGGCGGAATTCTGCCACCTTCGTTGTTTTTTGGCGTTCGGCTTAGCTGTGCGACAAGTGTGCCAATGATGAATCATCAGAGATCTACCACGTGAGGTTTTGAGAGAGGGGCGTGAATGTCATGAGTACATGTTCTTGTGTGACGCACATGACTTTTGAAATCAACTGGGCCAAGGTTTATTGCTTTTGGGACAAGCAGTTTCAGCATCAAAAGCCTCGCATCATCAGAAGATACGACCCAGAAAGGGGCTTGGTGCACGTATGTTGCAGACACCACAGTGTTGCAGACACCACAGGTTTGACGACCACGGGATGAGCTGCCTGATCTTTTGTTTGGCCTTATTGACATTGCCCGTTAGGGCTCCGAAGGTGGTAGGGACAGACCACCCCGCACCCCACAAGACCCGAACCACGCCACCGAACCCGAAGATGTGGTTGAAGCCCTATGGAGTTGAGAGGAAAAAACAGCTGCCTCACGGGTGCCAAATGGCTTTTCATCTGCCCAACATGGTCTTTGACGTGGAGGGCAGCTGCTGTAGGATCAAGAGCCAGCACGGATCGTGACATCTCGCTCGAAGCCTTGGAGATCTCTTGCATAGCGACCTTCGTGACTTCTGCCAATCCTGGAAGCCCAAAAGAGAATGGATTCTGCAGGATGTTTTCGTTGAGAGGAAACTTTGGGCTGACAAAATTGATAATTCTTTGGTGATTTGGTGATTTGCAGGAGTGTTGGCCTGTTCGGTGTGTTCAGATCCTTGAGCGATCACTACCGTGGCTCCAAGTTGGATGTGAATATATAAGAAATGATAAATGTATTTGTTAGAGTATACCTTCACTACAGAAAACTGGGACACCTTAAGTGGGCCTTCTTTCTTTACTATATCAATTGGGTGATTCACCGGGGGAACGAACGTCCACAACGGGAGCGTCAGTCCCCTTCCCCTCAACGACACACGTTCGACCGCGTTCGACCCGATCCGATCCACGTTTCCAGGTTTTTCTTTAAACATATACAAGTTAGATATAGTTAGATCTACAGAACAGGTTTCAAGGTTTGTTCAAGTTTTTTGTTTTTTCTGTAGGTTAGTCTATACAGAATATAGTTGAATAAAGCAAACAAAACTGAACAGTCTACACACTACGGGTTTCAAGGTCCGAGCTTCGCTTTGGGAGGCTTCGCTGGCTTCGGTGGGGTGAGGATGTCTGGCGACTTGCAGCTCGCAGGCTCGTAAAGGAACACCAGATAGACCGATGGTGTGGCAGGCCATGCAAGAACAGCATCAACGGAGCATCAACTCAAGGGGTACGGGACGCTTTCTTTAATGGCACCAAACATCAAAGAAAGGTTCTTTGGGGCACTTGATCTATATACGTCCCGTTCCGAAGGTTGTGAGCGTGAACATAAACAAACACATCCGCTAGACATCCACCTGGCCCTTGATAGATGGTAACTTTTGTGCTAGTGGCTAGAGGTACAGAATGTGTACACAGCTGCAACAGCTGGACTTGCTTTCTTGCTTCACTGGGGCACGAACACGTGGAGCCACTTTGGAAGACAAGGCCGGGTAGAAGAGCTGGGCAAACATGGTGGGCAAGAGGGGAAAGCAATGAACGTGTGATAGACTACAGTGATAGATATGCATGAGCAATATCAGTCCACAATGAGCAATGCCTGTTTTGGGGATTGGATATATATATATATTTAATTTAGGCCAACTCTCCATGGGTATACCATACTATACCTCCATCTGGGGTGGTTGAGTTGAGTTTCGAGGTCAATGTTCAATGTTAAACAAATGCCAGTCTCAGGGAGTCTTTGATGGTGTTTTCGGCGCGTGTCCTTCATAGGTGTTGCAGCCGGCGGCACTCTGACCCTAGCAATTCTGACGTCGCAGCAGCAGATGAGGATCCCGAAAACATCCTCCATGTGGTGCAGAACTTCCGGAAACAAGGCCATAGAGGTCATGATCACTCCTAAGAATTCCTTGGAGAGCTTGAACTTCAATGAATGTGTGAAGGATGGGAGAGCTTGCAAGCAACACAAAACAGGACAAATCATGCCAGCATAGACCCAAGGTAGGAAAAGATACTTGTACAGGCAGCAGGCAGCACCCAAGCGCTTTTTTAATGCAATTCGGCATGGACGTTATATCATACCGCAAGCGCCAGCACCAGCACCAGCACCCGACCAACACCGCCCGTCTCGTTTCGCGGGCTGCCCGCCAGCTCAAAAAACGCACACAGCACCAGCACCGACGCCTCGGTCGATCTCAGACAGCACAGCCAGCTCATGCTCAATTGAAGTAAGAACCCCATAGCTTATCGGTCTCTGGGGGTAGCTTATCCCCATAGGCACATTTCAAAGACGGTATGCAGAGTTTGTGTTCTTCAGACTGGTGTTCTTCAGAGCATGGTGTTCACTTTCCGCATCGCCCAGTGACGATCGAACTTGGAACTTCGGACATAGATCATAGCATTTCTTCGATCTAATTCTATACTGTAATAGTTTTAGGTGTTCTTTGTTGGACTTCTCGCAGTGGTCGCTCCAGGTGCAACCATGGGCAGGCGAGACAGTGGGATGGAGATCCTGGAAAACTCAAAAACGGCGGCCGTATGTCCCTAAGTTGGCTCAAAAACAGACTCTATTTATGGGGAATGTAAACCAGTCTATATAAGTCTATATGCTTTGACATGAGGAAAATCAACCGTCTGTGGGATATGAGATAAGAGATTTGAGGGTGATCTACACCTCTATGACTGCTGCAGCTTGCTCCTGCTGGTATACCTTGTAGAGATTTGTTAAGTTGTGTGACTTCTTGTGGAATTTCCTTTGCTTCAGCCCCGCGGAGTCCACCAGCAATAAGTTGCGGGCTTATGAGACTTGGGACGGAAGCTACCACAAGCAATAAGTTGCTGAGCTGGTTGTTGTTTGATTTGTTTGTTCCTTTCCATGCCCGTTCTCACCATGTTGTTCTTTGTTGTGCTTTTCCAGTCTTGAGGGCGCAACTCACCAAGAGCTGACTTAATTAAATTAATTACTTGATTGGGGGAAGTTCCAGTAAGTTTCACTATCCCTGCTGGGCCATAGTTTCACTACTCACTACTCTTTCAAATCTCCAGAATCTGTTTTGAAAGCACCAGGTGTTAGAGCACCACTCGGGTTTTGTGATCAGAACTTTTAATTCTAAAGGGTTGTATGTTATGTGGCTGTTTCGCTGGTGACCTGTTCATGTATGTCATTCAATTATATTGATATCCCTTGAGCCAAGTATATGTTTGCCTTGCCCACATATGCTTGTGGCCTACCACAGTCCTACAAGTTGTTTTCTTTGGGGGGGCAAAAAGGAGCCACATTGGATCCAAAAGAACTAGACTTACACCAGGAGAGTCCACATGTGCGGACAACCTGTTGTGAAGGTCACATTTCAAATGTCCAGAATGTGCGCGTCTTGGATCAAGTCACTCTTGGACAGAAAAAACTTACAAGCTCCTTTGTTCTTGACTATGCTGCTGTGCTTATTCTTCTCTCCAGTGGAGGCATATTCAACGGGCTTCAACCCCGGCCCCCACGTGACATAACTTAATAGCAATTCCTAGAATTCCCCAAATATTTTCTTGAGATATACCAGGTGATACACAGCATGCTCAGAGCTTCCCAAGTTCAGGTACTAAAACCCTCACCAATGAATTCCCCCCAAACAAAAAGGATTGAACCTTCGTTCTCCCTGCCCCTCTGTGGTCTTTGGGTCGCCGACCCCAATCGATTCCCCAGGAGTCGCAGCCGTCGGCGCAGCCGCCGAAGGGCTTCGAGGCGCTGTAGACGACCCCCTGCGGGGCCGACGAGTAGAGTCCATCACCTATAGTAGGGGGTAGGTCAATATGCCGGTTCCATGGGGCGTTGGGGTATGGCCTACATGGTTAGCTGGCTCGTTTTATCCCTGTAGAGGCTCCTGGCTCGCCTCCGAAAAGAAGGTATATATGGGACACTCCCCAGTCACCCACCCGTAACCACTGAACCTGACCCTGCGACGAATCTTCATCTCATTAATCTTTGTCAGGTTTCACCCATCCAGCTCTCTTTCTTGCCAAAACCCCTCGACAGGTCTCGCGGACGACGTGATCAGAATCAAGGCCAGGTCATGAGCTTGGTTGGATATTCACTCCAGTCGCTTCACTCTGGTCGAAACGGGCGCATGGATCAAAACTCTGGTTGGAGTTTGGAAGGCCTTCGTGTTTGATTGACTCTTAAGATGTCTTCTTGAGTATCGAAGTATTGAAAATTGGCAATATACTTGGTGGTTGTTGCATGTTGTAGCTGTTTCAGGACACGTTGATGTTTGATCAAACAGTAGAATCACATGGAATCACCAAAGGCCGATGAGGGACATGTTCCAGCAAATTTTCCAGATTGGTCTCTTCACCATATGCACTGCTTCAGTCGCTCAGTCACACAATGCCAACTCACCTTTATAGGTAGTCTCCATGCCTCTTGAGAAGGCGTGCAGGTTTCGTGCAGGTTTCAAGGATCACCTTGGTCTCACCCTGTTCTCCTATAAAAAGTTTGCACCATCTAACCCAGACACGACCCATGGAACTCCCATTATTTGCCTACATTGGGGAGGATTTTTTGGGGGTCAATCAATCAATATATATATATAGAGAGAGAGAGAGATAGGTCAAATGCCCTTCACACATGGAGTGTTTAGGTCCATTGCCCGAAGTTCACTGACCATTTCTTGCTCCAACGACCCTCCCACACGGCGACGCGGCGCAGCGCCGGCCACGCGGCGACGCGTTTTAAGGCGAGGACGATGTCGGGG